AGACATTATATTCTATTCTATGCTATGATATTATACTGTATTATGTTATATTAATTATGCTATATTATAGTATATTATACTATGTTGTATTCTATTATGTTATATTATTTTATATCATATTATATTGTATTATATTATACTATAATACGCTATGTTATACTTTGTTATATTATATTATACTATATTATATTATAATTTTTGTGTTATAAAATATTATATCATATTGTATTATATTATAGTATATTATACTACATTGTAATATACTATGTTATATAGTATACTAATTAGTATAATATTGTATTATATTTTATTATAATGTATTATATCATATTGTACTATACTATATGATAATTGATAATGTTTTGATTTCCATTTTCCCATACTATACTATATTATACTACTAATTATACTATATTACACTATGTTACATTTTAGTGTATTCCTTTATGCAGCCCTCCGCTCGGTCCAGGGTCAGCGAGGGCAGTGGCTCGGTCGCATCGAACAGGAGCTGGCGCAGATGGACCCCTATGCATGGGTCGTCACCTTGATCGCAAGAGAAAGCTGACACATGGTCAAGAAAAAGAAACAAGCCATCACGGCACCATGTCGAGCTCGAGTTCACACTTGTTAAGCATGAGCTCGCTCTCATGAAGAAGCAGGTGTTGGGATTGCAGCGTGACTTGTCCCCAGTGACACATGCTGCACAGCGGCCGTAGATCATTCGAAGTCGGCCCTTGCCGGTACAAGACTGCTGATGTCTGGCATCAAGAACCCATCGGCATCAACAAAGAGTGTCGCGAAAGGCATCCTCCGTGTTCATGCGAAATGCCATGCACTGCAGCCGCCCTTGCCTCCTGGCTCGCTTTGGCCAGAAGACGGACGACATCCATCGACAGAACCCGCACAACGCCGCGCGGGTATGGCGGGAAGACGGGGAACGGGAAGTCTTCCTGGCTTGCGGTTCAATCTATAGTCCGCTTCCATCTTTCGCTTTAAGCCCTTGAAGCATGGATTGGGGAATCCCGTCACGGGCGGAAAGCTATGAGATTCCTCGCGCCTCGGCATTGTAAAAGTTGTCGTCTTCGTCCCTAGGCACAGGGCTGATGTAGTCGAAAATTGCCCACGCGTACCTTAGCGAAGCAGAGCCGCAACCTCAAAACGTACATCCAACCTTATAGCAAGCAATCTGACGAGTGACTGCGCTGGAATCCGCTTCTGGAGCTGCCTGGACAAATCTTCTTCGGAGGAGTCACTGAAGTTCGGAGAACTTTGCAAACACTGTACAGCCCTACTCCACGAATGACGAGCTTTCTCCAGCAATGCAAACTCTGGAGAATTCCAGCTCCGCCTCAGTACGGGTGCCGGGCGCAGGTAGACCTTGCTGTCATAGATCCACACTCCGTGGCTGCTCGACATCTACCGTGGAGCAAGCATCATGTGTTGGGTACTTAGCCCTACTTGAATGAGGAGCTGCGGCTCTGGAATCTGTTTTCCCCCAAGGGCAAGATATACCAAGGCAAAGATATGATCGCACCGGGTGGGCGGGCTGGGTGAAATGTCGATTTCTGAGCCGCTGGCTGAAGAAGACTGAAGGTTCAAGTGCCCGAGCTAACTTATGCTAAAATCCTTTAGCATTGCACCAAAGATCGGCCAGGCATCGTCATCGTCTGTTTTCAGCAGGAATTCTGCTTCAGCACGCTCCGCGATCCACTCCAAGAACAGCAAACCCTGCAAGCACGGTGAACTTATGCCAGCCCGGTCGGTCCGGATCATTACTACGTAACCCTGCTTCGGACATTGAACGCTTTCGATGTCACACCTCCGTGCACTGCTTCGCTCACGGCGCTTGCTTGAGTCTCAAAGAAATCATGAAAAGCACCGTACTCTCGCCTTCCGGGAATTCATGCGGTAGCCCTCGGTCACAGGCAAAAATACGAGGTCGTTGTGCTCGTCGAGCTCTTGCCGCATGCGCCTCTCCTGGCACAAATGAAAACGCGACGAAGTGATAAGCATGGCTGGACTGGTGGGGCAGCTGTAAGAGCTGCGGGCTAGAACACCTTAGTAGCCTCTCTCAGCCAACAACTCCGAAGCCGGCAGCTCAAACCTCCCCTTTCAAAAGCATGGCACGCTGTCCTCTGCGGAAGCACCAGCACTGCCTTCGCCGAGGAAGAAACCTCGTCCGTGGGCCGTGGTTCAGCTGGTCAGCTCAGAGGTCTCTACAAAAGGGAAAGACTGTTTGGGCCTTTGAGGCTATGTGAGGTTGTCAAGCCGCCGAAAATCCGAATCCTCACATCGCACAGATGACACTCCGAACCCGAAGCTTGAGCCCACCAAAACCCTGCATGTCCCCAACCCCAAATCCAGATCCCAGCAGCATGCCGCCAACTCGCACCCTGTACCCAAAACTCGCGACTACAAATGTCTGAGACCCAGAGCCCCCAGGCTTGAATTTAAGGACCCCAGCCAAGAGAACACTGAAACCTTAAATCCCTAAGCAAACAAACCCCACAACCCGAAAAACAAGCCCTCCAGGCCACCACGACTCCAAAAACTGCCTTGCAGAGCAAAACCCCTATGCAGGCCCCAAATCTTCCTAGCCCTCTTAGGTCCCTCACCCTTCAGCTTGAAAACCACACCGAAACTCTAAACAGACCCAGACCCTAAACCCCAAACCAAGGAAACGGTAGCGGACGCCAAACTGCTCGCGCAGGAGACGGCCCCAAGTCTCCTTCGCAGGCTTGTGTCATTAGAATACTCTGCGGTTTTACATAGGGGTACTGTTCAGTGCGTTTTGTATGTGATAGAGTCTGATAGAGTTCTTCATGCCTCGGGGTTCTTTTGAAAGCTAAGGTCTATGGTTGCCTTATCCGAGAGTCCTCATTTTGGATTTTCTATGTCTGCTGTTTGGCAGGATCCAGCAACACATCGTTCTTGTGTTTGTTCAGACCTTGAGGTAGCTTGTCTAAGGTCCTTGCAAGTCTCATGTATGGCTTTTCTTGAAGTTGACCGTTACCTCATCTAAGGGTTCGTTTAAGCCTTAGTTTTATTTGAGCATGCATGGAAAATTTTCAGCCTACTTTACATAAGGATCCTCCGTGGGGTCTTTGGGATGATTTCTGAAATCTAAAGGATACCAAGAGCTTAAGGAATAGGGCCGTTTACATCGGGTTCAGGAGTTCAGGGCTCAGGGTCTGCGGATTAAGGATCTCGGCTTTCGGGATGTAATTCGGGGCTTTACATGGCTAAGGGGTGTAAGGTTTGGGTCTTGGGTTCAGAGTCAAGGGTGAAGGGATCAAGAATGTCGAAGGCTTGCCTAGGTATGGGATCGTGACCAAGCACTGTGAGCATCACATGCGACCTCTCCGGTAAATCTGGCCGGAATCGAAACCCCGCAGCCACGCATCACGAGCAAGCCGGGAAAGCTCCGGCATATCCAATCGAAACCGAACCCCACAGCCAGGCGCTATGAACATCAGCTGCTCATCATATGGTATCTCATTGTATTTTGGCGAAACCGACATCATCTCGCACCACTCCGGTGTACTTGGGACCCACAGCCACGCAGCATGAGGATCACTCCTGGGTATGTACCCGAAACAAACCCCCAACAACCAAGCATATGAGCATCACCTGGGATCGCTCCT